CGTATTGTATTCTTTTACACGACGGTGGTTGTATAAAATAGGTCGTCTATTCTTCTCCATGACAATTTTTTGGTTCATTTTTTAGTGTACAGACGTCGGTTTTTTTTTGTAAATGACGTTATTTGTTATAACAACGACGGTGATTTACCCTAACCGCTATTTCCACGTCAATATTAATGTAAAAAACGAAGTGGCATTACTATTGCACGACGGTTATATAAATATATTGGACGTCGTATGATTTAATAACGTCATATTTTATTTATTTAAAGACGTAGTGTTTTCTTTTACACGACGAATGTTGGATAAAATAAGTCGTCTATTCTTCTCCATGATAATTTTTTGGTTCATTTTTCAGTGTACAGACGTCGGTTTTGTTTTGTAATTGACGTTGTTTGTTACAACAACGACGGTGATTTACCCTAACCGCTATTTCCACGTCAATATTATTGGAAAAAACGAAGTGTCATTACTATTGCACGACGGTTATATAAATATATTAGACGTCGTATGATTTAATAACGTCATATTTTATTTATTTAAAGACGTATTGTATTCTTTTACACGACGGAGGTTGTATAAAATAGGTCATCTATTCTTCTCCAGGATAATTTTTTGGTTCATTTTTCAGTATACAGACATCGGTTGTTTTTTTGTTAATGACGTTGTTTGTTATAACAACGACGGTGATTTCGCGTCGTGGTTTTACTTTGCAAAAGACGTCAATTGATTTTACGACGGTTTGAAAACCAAATTCACGACGGTGAATTCCCGTCGTCCTCTGCCTTTTTTGTAGTAGTGTCTTCATCATTTATTATTATTATATCTATACTACTCAATTTTCATGCTGATCAAACAAAACCTAGTTGTGTTATAAAACTAAAGAGATTGTGGAGAGAATTTAGAGAAATTAAGCTGCGACAGAAATCTGATATTTTCATTGGGATTTTCTTATGTTCTATGTATTACAATGAAGGGAGGAAGTCCACTTATAGGCAAAGTCTCTTGGCTTCCCGTGGATGTGCAATGCATCTCCAAAATCTTCCCCCAATATCATCATTAACTATCATTTTCTTATTTTCTTTGTGTGAGCTCCATCACATTCTTTACAACACTCCCCCCTGGAGACCACATGTATGGAATATGCCTCGTTAAAAAACCTTGCCAGTAAAACCCAGTGGGACAAAACCTGGTCGAAGGGAAAAATAGTACATAACCATGTGTAACATAAAATTCTGTGTATATTGACACGCGTGTGACACTGTCTCATTAAAACCTTGCCAGGAAAAACTCAATGGGATAAAAACCTGGAGAAAGAAAAAAGAGTATAGTGTGTGAAGGTCTTTATTGACAGCACGCTTCCCCTGATGCTTGACAAAATATCTTTAAGCCATACTACTCTTGGTCTTGTTAAAATTAAGAATCATTCATATTGGTCTTGTTAAAATTAGAGTTCGGTTACATTTTAAGCATTAGAATTAGTTCCCTTGAATCAACCCCCCCCC